ACTTATCATATAAACAAAGAAAGGGGTTGAGGACACAAGTAAGTAAGAGACATGAATTGACCTGTAATTATATACCTTGTAAAAAAAGCCATTTCATTATGTTGCATTTCCAACACGTAAATGTGTGTTATGTAATGCTTCCTTCATTCTGTGGTTTTGATGTTTTTCATTCCTGATGACATTTATTCTGTGATCCGTCACTGATAACATGTACTTCTTCTCTCGTTTCAGTCCGTGGTGCTGGTTTCTAGGCTTCCCTTCGTGGCCTTGTTTAATCAGTTAGTCAGTATTATTGCTCCAGAGTACTTTGATAATGGAGAGCCCAGTCTAGAAGCAGGTAATTTTATACATCTGTAGATCATAATTACTTTGAATTACTTACCTAATGAGTGTCAGAATATTCTGGACATTCATGTGGCCATAAATTACAATATGCATACAAAATGAGTGGCACACCTTGTGAGTTTTTTCATGTTTCAAAATAAAAATGTGAAATACAGAGACATCTGTTTCAAACCCTACACCAGAAGTGTGGACACCTAGGATTTGTACATAAAAGTAAATAAGTGTTTTTTATTTTTCTGTACCATTTTAAATTTTTACTAGAACAATTTTTCAGAGCAAGTCCTCCACTGATACAATTTAGTACGGAAGCCTTCATCTATGACATCCCATAGATATTTAAATATCCATCAATGAAATCAGTACATGTATTTATTTTTAGCCTGTCATGACGTAGATCAGTGGCCCTGTCCACTAGGGGGAGACACAGTCAGTCTGCCGATATTTGGGAATGTTTTACAGGTACGTTTTATTCAACATTATCATCTGCTTCAAAGGGAATGCACACCAAAGGTTAGTCAACTTTTGAACTTCATTCACACATTTCTCACATGAATTATTTATGTATTTGAAAGCAAGGAAATAAGGCACTATTCCTCATACTTTGGGGCACTTGTTTTCCCAGAAAGAAAGGACACTCAAGTATCATCAGAGTTCTTGAAATCTTTTTTCAACTGTCAGTCATTTGGACTGACTGCCACAGGAAGTTTGTCGGTCCAGACAGATTTTTATCAGTCCAACAAAATAATTAAACATAATTTCAAGAAGATTAAAACTGTATTTGAATTTTATTATCATTACATTTCGCACCCTCCGTCATATACACACTGCATACTTCATGCGAATTAAATCATCGTATAACAAATTTCGTTGAATTCTCGTGGGAGGTCAATTTTCTTCATAAGTTTTTAATCTACTTCGATTTTTCTCACCTGGCTAATACCTTATCGTTTTCAAAAACTTGTTAAAACAATTAATAAATCAGTTTGGTACTTGCGTTCATCGAAGAAGCCATTACAAGATTGCAGAAAAGAGTTTGAACAGATTATGATCGGCCGATTATAGGGAATTCGTACGAAATTTAGTCGGATTTTCGCAAGTTGCTTTCTCAACATCTACCGGTCATTTGGACTGACACAGAACGTAAAGTGATCGGTCCTTGGTTGTTTTTATCGGTCTTGCCGACAGAACCGAAAGATTTCAAGAACTCTGATCATGAGAAATTGTGCCTTTTAATATCTCATGCACAAATCTACAAAAGTTACACATTGCATCTCTTATATTTGGAAATTAATGTTAACATACATTGAGAATTTTCAAATAGATTTTAGGATTATTCCCTTTTCGATTTTTGTTGTTGTTGGTTTTGTTTTAGTAAAAATGAAAGTTACTGTACAATATTTCATTTAAAATGTAAAATTTAGTTGCATTTCTGCACAAATTTTCTTTTAAGTACTCTCAATTTATTGCCCCATTGTTTTACTGTTGTCAGTTTCTGTGTTGTATACTTCGATGTAGTCAGTTTTTATTATTGTGTACATAGGTCCCCCCCCCTGGGGACAATAAACTCCTGGACAGAGTTCCAGTGAAAACCACCGCATCTGTAAGTCTGCCCCCACTACTGTAGCTGTGTTGTAATCTCTGTGTGGTTTTTTGTTGTTACTCAAATGATTATAGAAACATCGTATATTTTATTATTTATACACTATTTAATTTAAAATCACTTTTTTTTTTATTACCATAATTTTTTTTTTGAATTCATTTCTTTTTCATCACATTTGTAATTGTAAGAATGTTTTCTTGTTTTTGGTTTGAAAATTTTTTTTTTTTTTGGGGGGGGGGGTTTTTTTTTATTTTCCAGGTTCTAACCTTAAATGCTAAATGCTTATGGAACTTGAGAATTATAATAAATTAATTTTATGTTTGCCTGTCTTACCAGCACCCACCATCTTGCCATCTCTGTATGAAATTGACATTTTAAGTAAAGCTTGCAAAGATGAAAGAAAATCACTTTTTTGCAAAAGTATTCTGGAACTGAAATATAATAATCATAGTAAAATTTAAAAATTATATTATTTTCAAGAAACAAGATAGAATTTTGTTTTTTAAGAACCCCTAGGCACATATATTAGCTACAAGTTTACAATTATTTCTGACATGTCTACTTTTTTTTCATTTCCTTCCAGACCATACTTCCACATATACAGATGTTAGGGGAGCTAGTTTTTTAGGAGGTGGGATAATTAAGTCATTTATATATTATACTTACACAAATATCAGTAAAATAAAGGGGCACCTCCTGCTCCTTTTTATTCAGCCTTTGGTTGTCATGGCAGTTTCCCCTTCTGTGACCTCAGCAGCTGTCCAACCCTTTGGTCAGGTCAGTTACAAAGACGAGGTCAAGGTCATGACTAAAAATACCATGAAAAGAGGGGGATTTCAGACTTTATTGATCACTGTTATACAGTGTATTTTTTTCATTTTAATTTTCCCACAGAAGATTGTTGTGATTACAGACCCTACTTCACGATTCACGACAGCGAATTTCAAAGAGTACACAACAAAAACTCAGGCCCCGAAAGTTTTTTAATAACCCTGTTTTTTAAATATCAGAAGACAAATGTTTAAGTGCAGTGTTCTTGTATTCTTAAATGATAAAAAGCAACAAAATTAACAATGTTATTTTTAATAATGGAATTAGAAATTCATAGCTAAATGTGCTATATTGTTTTTTTTTCTACAAAATATTTGTCAGTGTCATGTAATAATTTTTTTGAAGATTTGTAGTCTTTTTGTATTTCAGGCCTTCTGTTATACTAGGTGTCACCAATCCATTTTCGCCAAAACACTGCAGACTGGCCCCACATTATAAGGATAGGAGAAATGATGACTCAAAGGGACAGTGTTAAATATCTTGGGGGGAAAATACCCCCCAAAAATCTATATACATTATCAAATTAATTGCTAGATCCACTCTCACAGCTACTTGCCTCATTTACTTATCAAGTTATACCATGCAACTGTGAAGTCACTGATTTTAGGAGGGGTGTTTAAATTTTTTTTGTTTTTTGCTCTACTGGGCGGCCAGAAGAGCTTTTTCGATAGAATTGTGTCCGTCTGTCTAGCTGTTGTTGTCCGTCTGTCTGTAAACAATTTTTCAAAATGCTACTCCTCCTATGTTTTTGGGAGATTTCAATATAACTTGGCACACAAGTAGACTACACTAAGTAATAAAATAGTGCATCGGTTTTTGATTTCGATGAACGGTGGTGCCATGGTTACTAAAAATAGAATTTTATGTGAAATTCCTTTAAAACGCTACTCCTTTTACAGTTTTGGTGTGATTTTAATTTTATTGACACACAAGTAGACTACACTAAGATACAAAAATAGTGCATCGGTTTTTTATTTCGATGAAAGGTGTTGCCATGGTTACTAAAAATAGAATTTTATGTGAAATTCCTTTAAAACGCTACTCCTTCTACAGATCTGGTCTGATTTCAGTATTACTTCACACAAGTCGACTACACTAAGATACATAGAATAGTGCATCGTTTTACTTTGATGAACAGTGTTGCCATGGTTACTAAAAATAGAAATTTCTGTGAAATTCCTTTAAAACGCTACTCCTCCTACAGTTTTGGTTTATTTTTATATAACTTGGCACAAAGCAGACTACACTAAATAAAAAATGGTAATAATTTTTTAAATTTTGATGAACGGTGTTGCCATGGTTACTAAAAAAAAAATTTTTTGTGAAATTCCTTTAAAAGCTATCCCTTTTACAGTTTTTATCTGATTTCAATATTACTTAGACACAAGTAGACTACACTAAGATACATAGAATAGTGCATTGGTTTTTGATTTATGAAAGGTGTTGCCATTGTTTCTAAAAAAATTGCCCGTGAAATTCCTTTAAAACGCTATCCTTCTACAGTTTTGGTTTATGGCAATGGCTTCTTTTCTCATTCTTTGTTATAAGTAAAAACCCGTAGAGCTACAGTTCCACAAGGTTGTTTTTTTGGGGGGGGAGTATGGAAAAACCCCCAAATTCAGGCCACCATGAAATGTAAAATTTCGTATGCAATAGTACTAAACATTCCCCAGCCACAAAATCAAATACCAGCAAAGTAATTTTTTCTTTTAAAACCCGGAAAATTTGACCCCACAACAAGAGGCTTATGGGTCACACCCCCCTGAGCACATTGGCTGAATAAAGCAAAAATCAGTTCAGTATTGAAGAGTTTACATGGAATGAAAAGGGGTTATTGAAATAGTTATTGAAAAGAGAAGAAGTTTATCATGATTAGGAACATTTTGATAACAGGGACATTTTTGTGGGTGAAGTATACAATATTCAAAAGAGGTTTGTGGAAAATTTAATCTCAAATGATTTAGCACACAACCTGTAGTATTCCAGGGCATTTAAGGACTGATAGGTACTTAATATCAGCAAATTAAGCCTTACAGATGCCACATATCAGAGTAGTCTACATCAAGGTAGACTTTGGGAAAATATCAAACACAATTTGATATTCAGCTTTGACAAAACGTGGAATACAGCTACCAATATGTATGAACAATCTTCATGTGAATGCAAACTTGATTGAACTACCCTTATAATGCTAAACCATACCAAGCTATACAATACAGAAACATCAGTGCAGGTATTTGATTTTCATCACTTGTCTTTTCATCGGATAAGCAAGAAACAGATTGTCATTTGTATCTGTACACAGTCCCCACGGTGAGATCACTCCACAGTTTATGTAACGGAGGAACTGTCCATCCTGGTCTATGATGTGGAGACAGTTATTGATTTGATCAGTTGTAAGGATGTGACCCTGACTGTCTGTGGTGATTCCTCCTGGATTGAATGGTTCATTGTTTGGAGTAGGATCATGTCCAGTGTACCTGAATCTGAGTTTCCCGGCCTGATTGACCACCACTACCTCTCCAATTCTACTCTCAGACACACAGATATCCAGATTCCTGTTCTCCGCTAGATATCTGTCATAAGACCAGTCGAATAGAGAGGTTTACCTTTATCATCAAACTGAATGGTTTGTTTCTCTGTGGATCCAGAGTAACGGGCAACTTTTGATTGTTTGCTATCATCACTGTGCATGATAACCAGGAGGTCACCAGAGGAGGTACTACAGACACCGTGAGGTCCCCAGTTCTTTAGTCTGATCACCTCCTCAATCTTCTTATTTTTCACAATGTTCACAGTTCTATCACCATTATCAGTATAAACTAGATCTCCACTTGGTGTCACTGCTATGTCATATGGTGGTTTTCCTGACTTGGTTGTAATTGACTTGAGTAGTGATCCCTGATTGATGCTGTAGAGTTTCATGGTGTTGTCATTTCCTCTTGTCCAGATTTCTTCATCACTCAGGCAGGCCACTTTGATAAGGTATTGATTATATCCAGTGTCTATGGTGGTGACAGTCTCTGGTTCATCAAGCAGTTGTTTGACTGGAAGAGAGGATCCAGCTTCTTTTAAAGTCATGCCTCCTGGGGGTAGGGTGGGGCTACAAAATAACAAAGGAGAAATCTGTTAAAGAACAGAATGACAAAATTTACTTAGGTGAGCGATGTGGCCCATAGGCCTCATGTCTTGTGATCAGTTAATATGGATAGTGTAATTTTTCCTTATTTTGAAAAACCAAAAAACTGCTGTGAAAATCATTTAATAATTGAAAAAGTTAAATATCCTGCAACAAACACCTACATGTATTTGTGTAGTGTATGTAAGTATACATAAACAGGACAAGCCACTGAGAAAGAAATTTAGGACATAGAACTAGAAATGCTTACAAAAAAAAAGTGAATTTTCATTCCAATCATGAAAAAAATATACTGATTTGCTGTCATTTTAAAAAATTGGAAAATATTCTTAAGGAATATCCTACCTGATTTATAGGAGACAGTAATGGCATCCACCACTTTCTGTTTAATCAGGTCATGTGACTTACTTAGATCATGTGACTACATTCAGTTATCTACCTGTCAGTTGCTTTATACTTCCCGGGCTAAAATCTAGGTCATATTTAAAAATAGCAGCATTTAAATTTTTCTTCATTTAGTTACTGAAGCACGAAAACTTACAACACATAGAGTGAAAATACATTTGAAACTTTATACAAGGAGCAAGCCATACAGCTCTTAATTGGACCAAGAGGAATTAATCTCATTTTTGATGATTTTGAGTTGAGTGAATTAAGTTTGTAAAGAAAAAAAATGTTCTGATTAGTACTTTTAAGCCCATAAGAAAATCAAAGTTCATATTTATTATGTTGAACATATTTTAGAAATTGTACTTTAAAATTTTACATCAGTATTTTAATGAAAGTGTTGTGAAAAAGTTATTTGCACCATGAATTCTTTGTTCACAATGTTCTTAAGACTATATTAAAGGAAATATCATTGTAGATTTATATATACACGGTAGTATATACCTTTCAACAGTTACTGAGAAATACTCTTGTGATTTTGGATTATGTTCTGGTACATATACATACATAATCCATTTTTTCTTTTTAAC